AACAGCTGTGACGTCAGAGGCTGGAACCGTGGAAGGACCGCGGAGGGGCAAAAGAGAGCCGAGAATTAGCATTATGCTGATATTGTGTCTAGTGTACTAAGAATGGTGAAGCCGACGAGATGACCCGGCGCTCAGGAGAGAGGAAGAGCCGAAGTTTGCTGGGCGGAGGCAGTGATCGGCGGACGAGCGAGCCAACCGGGTTGGGCCTGCTTCCTTCTATTTCGAGAAGGGGGACTCCGCCTCAGTCTGAAACGGCAAGGGCGAGGGCCCCAGCAAAGAAGCCGCCGTCGCCCATCCTCGCCCTCGCTCTGCCTCTCTTCCACCAGACTCGCATCCGACAATTGCACTCTGCATCAACATCAACAACACCAACTTCTACCACCACAACACTCGCTCTATCACCGCAACAAACGTGCTCGCAGGAGGCGCGGATCCATCGGCACAGCCACACTTCCGGCAGAACCGGCCCAGCGTCGAGCTGACGACGACTTTCCAGCAGGCTAACCGCTCCTGTCACGCACCCAGTGCCCGCAACACAACACCCCAAGACTGCCGCTTGCCTGCCTAAGGACCGCTCAAACACGATCAGCGACTCCCCAGCAGTCGAACAAACAATAGCGACATGGCTACCGCCGTCCAGCCTGCCATGACCATGGCCCCCTTCAACGGCCACCCGAACCAATGCGTCGACCCCAATGAGTTCTTCGACTTTGGCCAGATGCCCTCGCCCACCCAGCCTGCCACTCTGAAGCGGGAGTCCAGTGCGACGTCGACTATGGCCAGTCCCACCAGCACAAACATCGACGACGACCTCCAGACCCCCGCAAAGCCCAGCCACGAGTACGAGCGCTTCAAGCAGCAAACCGGCCTGCCTACCAACTCCCTTCCCGGCCTTAACCCCGGCTACAACACGGGCTTCCCCATGTTCTCGTCCACTGGCTTGGACGAGATGGCTATGATGGGCGGCGACTCCATGATGGACGGCGCCTGGAACAACGGCCTGCCCATGGACGTTGGGATGAACATGGGCGTCGACTACCGCCAGAACAGCTTCGTCTTCAACGAGGCCGCGCAAGACGACTTCGTCGACCCCAGCGCCATCACACAAGAGGAGGTCACCAACGTCAGGGTCTGGCCCGGTATGCATCAACAGCAGGCTGCCATGGCTAAGGCGCAGGCGCAGGCCCAGCAGCAGCGCGCACAACAGTTGGCCCACCAGAAGCAACAGCAGGCCCTCCAGCAACAGCAACAACAACAGCAGCAGCAGGCGCAACAACAGCAACAGAACCGCATGGCCTCCACCAGCTCGGCCAGCCGCAAGACCTCGAGCCCGCTCAGCGACGCCCACACCGAGGAGATGATCACCCGCGTCGTCGCACAGATCCGGGCCGACAGCCAGAACGCGTCTGCCAACATGGCCAACGACAACCAGGGCCTCCTCCCCCACATCATCCGCGCCAAGAAGGACGAAGAGGACATGGACGAGGACGAGAGGCTGCTTGCGTCCGAGGAGGGCAAGAAGCTCAGCTCCAAGGAGCGCCGCCAGCTCCGTAACAAGGTCTCTGCTCGCGCTTTCCGCTCGAGAAGGAAGGGTAAGCTACCATGACCCCACTACATGTGCAACATCAACTGACACAGCCAGAATACATTGGCCAGCTCGAAGGCGAGGTTGCCATGAAGGTCAACGAGGCCAACGAACTCCGCTCCCAGAACCGCCTCCTCATGGAGGAGAACGCCCGCTCGCGCGCTTTCATCGAGCGTCTGCTCCGCCACCAGGCCTTCACTCCCTTCCTCGAGGAGCTGTCTCGCGACGAGTCGCTCCAAGCCAAGGCCCCCATGACCTCCATGCCATCGACCTCAGCACCCGTCGCAGCTGCTCCTGCCCCCGCTCAGTTCCAGCAACAACAGCAGTTCAACGGCATGTCGCAAGCCGAGAACACCCACGTTGGTATGACCATGGTCCCCGAGCCCCAACTCGACTTTGCTATGCTCAACCTGAACACCAACAATGGTAACAACTGGGGTGCTAACAACGGCTTCAACTTCCAGCAACCAGTTGCTTTCGCCGTCACTGAGCTGCCTGAGGGTCCCACCAACCCCCTCGACATCGAGGCCATGTCTGGCAAGGGATACAGCGCTATCCTGAACGCCGAAGACGACTCGTCGGTTGAGGAGGTCAAGGCTGACTACCCCGTCATCGAGCGCCCCGTCCAATCTGAGCCCACCGCACCCGCTGCCGCCGATGAGACCGAGGAGGTAGATGCCGAGTACGACCTATACTACTCTTCGTCCGCTCCTTCCACCACTGTCGCTGCACCGCTTGAGGACCACGAGGCGCTCTTCGCCAACCCCGAGAAGGCCTTCGCACACTACTCGCTAGTCATCTCAGACGAAGCGAACGAGGCACTTCTAGCAGAGCGTCTGGCGAGGAAAATTGCTGCCATGAGCCCCGCCATGCAAAGATTAGCCGACATCACATCGTCGTTTGACTTATAGCCGATGACTTTACAATTTGTCCCTTCTGATCTTTCCTTCTCAAACACTGCAGCGATTTTTGTTTTCATAGACTGTCCTACATGATTGTACGATTCCCTTTGTTTGATCATATATATCCAAGTCGGCTGTTCCGACGTGCGACTTGGGTTTCAGCCGCAATCAGCGAGTAGGCCTTCTTTTGCTTTCCTTTGTTCTTTCGGTACTGCGCGATGGGTTGTCATGCGTACCTTGATCCTGTTTTGGATGGGCGTTCAACGGGCAATGGGTTTTCTTGTAGATATATTCTGACCCCAAGGTCTGTTGGGGGCCGATGAAGTAGTCGGAACTGGGGTTACGTAGAGGGGGATGTGGGGATTGAATATAGTGATGAAGTTATTTCGTGTCCCACATGCTTCATTGTGAAGACTTCCTCGTACCATTGTCGCCTACTGACATTCCATCCATCCATCCGCCCGGTCCCAAACCTTCTTACCCCCCACGCCGCCTCTGCCCTACGCTCTTTACCCAGATTAACCACCCGAACCCTCCGTCCTCCTCCCCCGTATCTGCACCCTGCCCCAATGCACGTCAACCCTGCATACCGATATCGCGTCCCGACAACCGTTTTTAATATAACATTTCCGTGTCACACGTCCACATTCCACATTCCACATCGCACATTCCTCATCCTCCAACACAATGTTGTAAAACACGAGGGGCGCATGCGCCGGGTACTATCATTGACTCCCGTTGCGTATACTGGGGATAGTGTTATAGGGTTTCATCCTGGGGGTATAGTAGAGATTGTATGGGTGAATTGCAGGGATGGTGGTGGTGGAGGGGAGATAGTGGAGGGGAGAGGAGAGATGGGGTGGGGGTAGGATGTTGCGAGGGTGGTCGGGCGGATGGCGAGGCACGGTAATGTATATGCGGAGAAGTGGGTGCATGATTTCCAAGGTTCCAAGGTTGTGTTGAAGACGTTAGAAAGAGAAGTATCACACTGTCCAGGTGGATACGCATACGTTGAACTTGATGAATTAATATATGCCTTGGACTTGTATCCAGCATCCATAACGCCTATTACCCCTAGTATGCAACCACTGGAATCGTCATTTCTTCTTCTCCCCCTCTCGTTTACTTCTTCTCCATATCCGCTAGAGTCATACCCCCGCTCAATGCGTTCCTTGCTCGTGCATGTTGGTCTTGCCAGCGGGTTCGTGCGCCGTCGACGGCTGCGCCTTCTTTTGCTGCGACGATTGTTGTGTAGGTTATGCCGAATGCTGGGGTGGTGTGTTAGATTCATGTTGGATGTGATGGAGAGAGAGAGAGAGATAGAAGACTTACCTAGGAAGGCTGCGAAAGAGGGGAGGTAGGATCTTGGTACTGCTGGCATTTTGGCCGTGTTGGTCGGTATGTGTTGTATGTTGCTGACTTGTTGGCTTGCTTTGTCGGCTTGGTTGATGATTGGTAAGATAAAAAAGATTGCCGACTGCTTGTATGCAAGACGCTTATTGTGTGTGCGGTATGAGGTGTTGAAGGCTGATGGAGCTGTATAGCTGAAGATGGATGTGACTGGATGTAGATGATGAACACTAACGGAGGAAACCCATTTACCTTATATCTATCACGGTTCCTTGAAGCAATACTCACGGTGTCGGTGCCTACCGACGATACCATTCCTCAATTCACACAGGTCCATCGCGTGATCCCATGATACCAATATGAAGGCATGCGCCTCACACCAACACGCGAAAACTCCAAACCAGTTCCTGAGATCGCGAGACACGACAGACAATCCGCAAAACCATTGGTCGAAATCACCGAATATACGATCAAATCGTCTGATACGCCTCAATAATCCACAACGAAAGAGTTTTGGTGGCGAGACATGTACAGCGAGAACACCGTGTTCGGGCGTTGCCGGGATGCGTGTGGGGTGACCGTTAACGAGGGTCGTACGATAGTAGGGCGACCGCTCAGCCGGGTTTGTGCGCATGGTGGGTACGTAAACCTGCTTTAGTTAGCTGCGCTTTACGATTTTGGGGTTGCTGTTTATAGTGATGGGGTCGCGATTGCTTGTAGGGGGATTGGGCGGTAGAGGGAGAAAGAGGATGGGGGGCTAGTGCTGTCGAGGCAATGACGAATTAGGTCACTTTTGGGTATTGGAGCATCAATGTGCTGCATCCTCAAGCCTTTAAGTTGATCTAGTTCGAGATACATGGTTGATAAAGGCGGTATTTGGACGTCTTGCGAGGCAATTATCAATGCTTCGACATGAGCAATTTCCACAGCCTCGTTTCAATTATACGCACAAACAGACGATAAATATTTTTGGAAGGCTTTCTGAATCTACAACACTTGTTTTTATGTTGATACCAAGAAACCCGATATAGGTTTCTCTACTAGAACATCCTCGGTGCGCGGTTCATCACACTGCAATCAGGTAGCGATGCTTTAACTATTTGTAACTTCGAACTAGCCACCTCTTCTTCTGTGACATGATCTCCTGTAAAGTCATGAAGCTGCTAGATCTGCTTTAACTTTCCAAAGTGCTTGCCTTCCTCCCAGTTGCGTTGCCACTCCCTCTCCGTCATGCCCTTACCGAACTGACAAGTCCACCTCTTACCAAGCCCAAACTCCTTTTGGTATTGCTCGAAGTGGAGTCGATACTCATCGCTGATTGTTTTCTCACTCATGTCTGCTGTCAGCTTGGGCCGGATTGTGATATTGACGGGGTCGTAGCCAAAATCGTACGACCATCCGATGTCCACAACGCACTCGTAGAATATGCGTATATAATCTCTCATGAGCCGCAAGTTTCGGGCAGTCTGTCCAGGTACATCGCCAAGCTCAAGAGCTATCTCGACTTCTAGCCTCGAGCCAGTTGCCGTCATACTGTGATGTAGAGCCTGAGGCGGGACTTCGGGCACATCCTGATTGTCGGGGCCACTTTGGCGACTAGGACTATAGCGCTTAATGCGTATTGCCCAGGGCTCGTGTTGAAAGTCAGGTGAAGTATAACGCGATATAACGTTGAGGACCGTGTGGCACAAGTCTCCCGCATCGGCGAAGATACGAAGTGGTTGGCCATCTAATCTTGACCCTAGCATGGCAGAGACTTCGTGGAATGTTTGGCGACAGGTAGTGAGTAGTGCCATGCAAGGGATGCGTTCCAAGACTAGGGTGAAGGGTGTGATGGATGGCCTATTTGGTTTTTGCACCGTGTAGCGACGGGTCTCGGCAGGGAAAAGGTCGTATATTTCCAGGCGGATGTCCTTGGGTAGATCGAGGAAGCGGAACCCTTGAGTGTCTTCCATCGCGAGCTGACCGGCGGTCGGTTGTTAGTGCAGTGAACTGTATAGGACGCGCTTGGCTATGACCTACTGAAGTCTTCGAGGTTACTCGGTGAAAGGTGCGTAGTGTCAGGTGTTTGCCGCGATAGCAGTTGCGAATAAAATCGCGCTTGGGGACGGTTGGTAAAGGTGAGGGAGAGAAAGTTTGGAAGCTCTTGCCTACAACAAGTCGAGACGCTGTATGCGGACTAGTAAGACAACAAAACTGGACCCTGACGGTGAGAGGCGGCGCAAGGCAAGCACGCTCGCTGCAGCTAGGGAAAGAACTCATCAATGCCACAAGAGAAGCCAAATGTTTGGGTAAAGTTCGGATTAATTAAAGAAATATTGATAAACTACTCGGACGTTTGTCTGCCCTGCAGAGAGCTGCAGATGTACACCGTTCCTTCCAAGCAAGATGACTCCTCCACCAATACGCATGCGCGTCCTTCTTTCCTTTCCGCCGTTCTCAGAGACAGCGACGCTCTAGCCAATAGCATATACACGCGAGTTCGGGACTCGAGCGGGTACAAGCATGAGGCGTGCATCCAGCTATCTCTTCCACCATTGTCTTCGCTTCCGCCGCCTATGCGTGAAGCCGGAGTCCTAGGGCTGAGCAATGTTGAACCAACCAGATGGCGCTTGCGGGCCGGCCCAGTTGGGCCGACGCAGGTTCTGTCTGATCTGCTACGAGTCCGTGCCCAGATGTTGTCCCACGCCTCCGGCTGGCTACCAGAGTCATCGTTGGTTTGGTCGTTAATTCGTGTCGTGTTCGTCGTAAAAACATATATCGTCCGTTGGAGTGGATGCCCATGCGAAGGAGTAGAGATGTGCAAAGAACCAGCACTCTAATCATCACGGATCTTCGTAATCGTAGAAACCATCGAAAAGATCCGTGACCACCTTGAGCATCGGCTCCATCAAGGTCCTCTCATCCTCCGGTAGTCCACCAAAGATGCGCAGTCGTTGAGTCTCCAACTCTTGCTCCTGCTCCTGTTGTAGTCGAAGCCGGGTTTGCCATGCGGTGTAGGTTTGCTGCCAGTGGTTCGCACTGGCACCCGCAATGGAGCTTTGAGGATGGAAGCAGGAGCTGGTTGCGGAGAGAGTTGAAGAGGTAGTGCTGACCGACTCGCTTCGAGTGTGGTTGATGACCTGCGGAGGTGAATTGTCGTGGTTGTTGTTGCGGTTCCGAGGACGGCTTCTAGTTCGTTTTCTGTTGTGACGTTTGCCCATGTCGTCTATTTCAAGTTCTTGTGGATGTGTGAATAAGTAATAATAGGGTTGAGGGGAGATGGAGAGTGGTGGGGCGAAAAGCCGCAAAGGCGGCTGATAGTCTCAGGAGAGTCAAGCATTGGAGCAAGATACCTACCCAGCCTTATATACATGGGATGACATTGAATCACGTATGCAGGTACAAGCTAAGTCAAGGATGTCAGTAGGCTGCAGAGTGACTCAGAGCCGCACGATGGTGTGACGGGGAGAAGGAAGATGCTAGATCACAGCCTAGATGACAGCGAATGCGGGCCCACTATTGCACCCGTGCCCGCCCATGATTGGTCACATGGCATCGCCGAAATTCGGGACCTGCAGGAGTCATCCTCGCGGCGGGCATGCACAACTCATGTCTCCACAGAGTCTTCACCTCTCTTTGCTCCAACTCATCGCAATTTCCTTGTTTCACCTTCTTTTGCTTCTTCGACTCACAACTCTGACGACATGTATACGGACAAAGGGCGCGCGCGTGATGTGCACAACCGTGGCGGTGCGCTATTCTGCCTTCTCTTCTTACCACGGGACTCTTGCAAACTGGGGCTATGCAACAGTCACCGCGAACTCAGGGGACAAATGACTACAGACAAGCGCATGCAGGACTTGTACCTGTTGAACGACCGACATGTGCCTGGCCATGCGACAGCCCAGGATCGCGGAGGGCGGATGGAAAACCTCGACCGCGCTCTGACCGCCATGGGGTCGAGGGCGACGGGATGCGCTGCGTGGGGATGCCACATCACGTTGCCGACCGCCATGTCGACTAGACGGTGAACGTGAACCCGGAAGTTATACTATGTGTTAACATGGGATGAAGTTTTTGATGAGAAAGACATTCGCACAGGCTCCCAAGGTCATTACTCACGTCATCTGCCACACTAGCCACACGGGTGACCAGTAATCGCGATCGCACCTCTCGCCATCAGTTCGGCACCCGACCAGCGGCCATGTTCGCAGCAAACCTGGAATAGCAGCTTCAAAGACTTGTCGCCTAGTCGCTGCCTACACCCGCGAACGAAGGATCATGCTAATGCTAGCCAAGTCAAGCGAGTCAGACGCGTGCCTGCGCAAGGCTACAGGCACGTCGCGCAAACACGTGCTCAGGATAGCTGAATCATCCAGGCCTCCATGAGACGACCTTACTAATCCTGTATCGACGTCAACGACATCTTCTGCCTGAGGCACTCGTCACATCATGAGAGTCGGTGCTTTCCCAACATGTTTCGCCGACATCTTACTTCCGGCTCTCCACCATGTGCACCCCGGCCCCAAGTCAGACTAGCACGTCAATGTCCACCACTCGAAACACACGAAAAAGCTGCGGAAACGCGTAAGCTCGACCATTTTCTGTTCTAAACAGCGTCATTTGTGTCACTCCCAGACGTGAATCATCGATTTGGCGCTGTTCGGCTTGTGTTGTGGGTGATGTTGTTAGATCAGCCGTCGCAGGTAAGAATAGATTAACTAGCCAATATTTCTTTCTATCGATCTGTAGACCTTCAAATCGAGCTTGCATTGGTCTTTCTCATTCCACATCTTCACTATGACTTTTAGCACACGAGCGACGCTGCTTAGCCTAGGTATGAAGCCAATCCTGGAAATCGAGGACTAAATTGATGAGATGATAGCCGCTACCACAGTTTCTGCGCAGTACGGCCCCGGTGGTCAATACGGTCCAGGCGGATTTGGAGGAGGTAGTGACAGCGGCGACAACGATTTCGGCTCATCGTTTGGCGGCGGCCGTGGTGGTTTCTCATCAGAATCACGACATAAGATTATCGTAGCCCATGGTGTCCTCGCAGCCCTGGCCTTTGTCTTATTCTTCCCAGTTGGATCGATTCTTATACGATTAGGATCGTTTCGCGGCGTCTGGATCGTCCATGGCATATTTCAACTCTTTGCGTATGTTGTGTACATCGCAGCATTCGGTCTCGGCGTGTGGATGATCAACAACATCCCAGTCAACATGCTCGACAACTATCACCCGATCATTGGTATTATCGTTTTTGTCCTGCTCTTCTTCCAACCCATCCTTGGCTTCGTCCATCACCTCAAGTTCAAGAAATACAGCCGCCGGACTATCTGGTCGTACGGTCACCTCTGGTTGGGTCGCATTTTGATCACACTGGGTATGATCAATGGTGGTCTTGGCCTGCTACTTGCATCGGATGCGCCCGCGTTCACCGGATTTGCCCCTAGTCAAGGCCAGATCATCGCGTATGGAGTTATTGCCGGAATCATGTGGCTGCTTTGGGTTTCGGCCTCGATCTATGGGGAGAGGAAGAGAACGATCTCACATCGGGCGGCAGTGAACAAGGAGGTCGATGCTGGGTCACCTGCGCGCCCCTATGACGATGGCAAAGAATTATACGCGTACGGTGGTTCCTATTCTCGTTCTCATACACACTGCTAACCCAATAACAGGCAGCGAACTTATGCTTGAAGCTACCGATACATCCTTAGAACCGTCTACAGTCGCGTGCTACTATACCAAAAATTTATTTCGTGATCCATATAATATTCTCTCATGCAACTCACCGAACCTTGCGTGTCCGTCAAGTCTTTGTCTTCCTTCTTGCCTTTCTTATCAACAACAGTCCAACGGCCACAGGCAGAACCCCTTATCTTCTGATGATTAGGAAGACTCCTCGCTTTCCGCCTTCTTGCACGCGTTGGCAAGCAACACGATCCCGATGTTCAAGATGATGAACCCAATCTCCGAACAAAGAAGTGCGTTAGTTAACGTTCAACGTGCGCAACATGTTTCTTCCACTACCGCAAAAGGAATAGACTTACCGGTAAGGCAAAGAACCAAGACATGCTTATTGCCAATACAAAGTTCCCCTTATCATCTGGATCTTTCTCTCGTAGCACATACGCCAAGATACAGGCTGCAACATATGTAATTCCCGTGAAATGATGAATGGCAGATCGACCAGCATGCGACATCTCCTGGGGAAGCTTATGATGTGCAATCAAGCACCCCAACAGCAATAATATCGCTGCCATCTGTTCACATAAATCAGTAAGAACTTCTTTATATGGGTTTAGCGTAGCTGGATAAGAGACGGGACTTACTGGTACGAAAGTGGCCCACATCAACATGACCTCCGTGATATCGTGATTCATTTTGTAAAGTGCTACGGGAGTTACCGTGAGGAATATCATAAGCATCATGATTGCTGGTGGAGACCGGATGAACGAGCGCCGGTGTGACTTTCGAATCAGTTCGCGCTGTGTGGGCGGCAGTGCACGGAATTGGCTCTCCGTGTAAAATCGAGGAGATGAGGAGGACGCGGACTCGAGGTCGCCTTCTTCGTCATACCTGCTTCCTAGGTTACTGCCGTAGTTGAAATGCATTTTGCGTGCTGAATATGGTGGTAGCATTGTGGGGTGAGAATTCTGGGTGATTAATGCAATGCGGGTGGTGGAAAAGCTTGGATTCTTTTGCGCGAAACAATGAGACTTTGAAAGGTATTGCTCAATTTCACTGTGAAAGCTACGGCAAA